CCTCACCTGCGGGAGCGCGCGCTCGGGCTCGGCGCCCCGGTCCAGGAAGAAGGCGCCCAGGCGCGGCAGCGGGGCCTCCGTCAGCACCGGCAGCTTCTCCTGGGACATGAGGATGTCGTCTAAGGATAGAAAGTTCTCCTCGGAGCTCAGCGCGCCCGACTCCACACGGAAATAAGCCTCGGACATGGCGGCGGGACGAGGGCCTCCGCTCCCGGAGACTCCGCTGAGGAAAAGCCCGAGCCCCCGCCCGACCGCCGCAAACGCATTTTCCCGCGCTCTGGGAAGGGCTAGGCCCGAGCAGTCGATCGATCGGGGGCTGGCCCTGCCGTGGGCCCAGGCAGAAGCAATCGATCGCGTCTGCCGATCCGGTTCGGCGGGAGCGCGGACGCGGTAGCTCTGCGGAGTCGGAGGGAAAGTTTTCCGTGGAGCGGGGAGGGTGGCGCCGTGCCGCCGCTTCCCCGGGGAGCTGCACCTGTTCTGGGTTCTATTCGTGCGCTCGTTGAAATGTCACACACACACACCCCCGCACATTTAGGGGCTTCAGATACAGTCATCATGTTCCACACCCGCTCTCGGCCTGTCTAGAAGGCACCTTTGACCCGTTTTCACAGCATTTCTGTCAATCTTGATCCTTGGAAAAAATGAACAAACAACCACCGTCAGGCAGCCCCGCCCCGCCCTCTCACATTTCCCACTTTTTCTTCTCTCTCTTCATTTTATTTTTCTGGCAGGGGCTTGGGTCTTGCGTTTGCAAATGCAATCCTTGAACCGAGATCCTCCACATCTCCACCCCCTGAAGAGCTGGGATTACAACTGTGAGTCACAGGGCCTGGCCTGAGAGTTTGTTTTGAAAGGTGCCTACAACCAGTGGCAGAAATCGCAGAACTCCGGACGATCTCGAGTGGGAGGCCAGCCTGGACTACATTAGGGAGGCCCTATCTCAAAATGAGAAAACAAATGAGATACCCAGAATGTCTTTGGTGATGTAAATCATAGAGCTAGAAGCACAGCCAGAGTGAGCTAGGCGTGTCAACTTCCTTTATGTGTGTCCCCAGCTAATGTATAAATGGTTCCCAATTTACAGCACATCACTTGTGATTTCTCACTGTAGCTCAAAAGCACACCAATACAAGCATTCTGTTTTACACTTTCAGTACAGTATTTAATAAATTACATGAGGTATAACACGTTAAGATATATTAGATGCTTTGCCCATATAGGCTAATGGATTCTGAGGGTTATTTAAGGTGGGCTAGGCTAAACTAGGATATCCCATAGGTTAATTTCTATTAAATGTGTATTAAATGCATTTTTACTAGTAACCCCACTGTAAACTGAAGAGCATCTGTATTTAGTGAAAGGTTGTTTAGAAACAGAAGTGATGAAATGGTTGCCAGTCATTTTATAACTCGTTTTCAAGCAGTGATTTAGAATAGCTTACCACGTTTTAAATACCAGAATTCTCTTTACCCTTGGTAATGGAAAACCAAGGAAATTAAAACCTCACAGTCTTCCTCCCCCCAAGAGCTATAAAAGTACATTTTTTTCCTTGTGCAAAAATTACATAAAATTTGGGGCTGGGAATGTAGCTTAGTGGTAGAGTGCTTGCCTTGCATGCATGAAGCCCTGGGTTTGATTCCTCAGTACCACACAAGCAGAAAAAAGCTGGAAATGGTGCTGTGGCTCAAGTGATAGAGCACTAGCCTTAAGCACAGAGAGGCTCAGGGACAGAGCCCAGGCCTTGAGTTCAAGACCCAGGACCAGCAATAATAATAATAATAATAATATAAAATCTTGATTATAGAGCTGCTTAAAATTTAATACTAATGTCCATAGAGCTATAGATGTTCTTTACCAATAAGGTCACAGCTGGTGTAATCACTTTGTCCCTATGACTGAAATATTGTTGAGGTCTTCAAAGAACGAACAGAACCTGCCAGTTTCTGTGAGTTTTACTTGTGGTACTGGGGTTTGAACTCAGGGTCTTGCAGTTACTCAGCTGGTGCTCTACCACTGAGCCATGTCTCTAGCCCTGGTTTTTGCTGGTTATTGGGGATAGAATCTAGCAAACTTTTCTGTCTGGGCTAGTTTCAAACCTGGATCCTCCAGATCTCAGCTTTCTGATTAGCCAAGATTATAGACCAAAAGTTCCAAGCTGTGAATTCTTTTGTAAAACAAAAACTCAAGGTCACAGAAATGAAAACTAGGCAATTTTTAGGGCTACCTACTTCACTGTGAAATCTAAGCAGCCATAGCTAGTCAACAGCAGTTTCCTTTTCTCTCTGAATGTGGTCCTTAGAGTTTGAAGTCCTCATTAGAGTTTGAAGTCCTCACCACTAGACAGTTTCAATGAATTGAAGAAGTTGGATGAACTTTTTCAACAAATTGCTTTTTATGGTGTATTTTTGCTCTGATCTCCATAAAAATTGTGTCGTTATGGCTATGTTGCCCTGCAGATGTCAGAATCTCCCTTAAATCTCACTGTAATTTCTCCTAAATTCCTTAATTGCCAGGTACAATATTAGACAGGCCATGTTGTCCAAGCTCTTTTACCCAATCTTTTCATGTTGGAAATGTCTCTCCTTTAGTAAAATCATAAACAAGTAAAACTGCAGTTTTACATTGGTGCCAAGGCACAAACAATCCTGGTCTAGCTACATTCCAAATTAGGAAATTATGACCTCATTTTGGCACTGGGCAATCTTGGTAGAAAAGATGCGTTATTGTGGAGCTGTGTGGCTCCAGTGGTAGAGCATCAACCTTGAGTAAAAAAATCCAAGGGACAACACTCAAGGGATAAGGATAGTAGCTCCTGGAAAGGTCATGTGGGTGGAATAATGAGTCGGTTTGCACAGAGCTCTGGGCTCAGCACTGGCCCACAGCAAGCACTCAATAAGTACACCTTCATCATCATTGTTTGTCTATTGAACTCAGTATCTTCAGCATCTCAAAGGAAACCTGTCTTATGGCAAGCACCCAATGAACAGTTAAGTGTCCTACATCATTCATTATCATCATTAGTCTGGGTTTGGCATATCTATATTTTTTTTTTTTTTTTTTTTTTTGTCGGTCATGGGGCTTGAACTCTGGGCCTGGGCGCTGTCCCTCAGCTCTTCAGCTCAAGGCGAGCGCTCTACCACTTGAGCTACAGCGCCACTTCCGGTTTTCTGGTGGTTTTATTGGAGATAGGAGTCTCACGGTCTTACATGCCCGGGCTGGCTTTGAACCGCGATCCTCAGATCTCAGCCTCCTGAGTAGCTAGGATTACAGGCGTGAGCCACCAGCGCCCGGCTACCTATATTTTTCTTAAGTTTCGAAATGAACTTGAAGGTGATAAATTCTTCCTTTGCAATTGAACTTATTCTTGCAAAAACATCAGAGAGGATTTATCACCTCTGAGATCTAATTACTGTATTGTATTTTGAAATTACAGTACTATGTTTAAAAATCCTATTATGTAAGGTTAATGGATTAAAATGACTGGGGTTCATTTTTACATAATTAGAATGTTCTTTTGGTTGAGCTATTTCTTGAGCCCTGCTCCAAAACGCCTTCCACGAGATCAGAATAATTTGATGGGCATAATTCGACCTTATATGTAGGCAGTGCTGATTTTAGACTCTTCCCACAGTCCTCAGCAGTGTAACAAATTTGTAAACCCATCTTATTTATTCAGAGAGATCCTGTGTGTCACACTCTTAACTTGGCAAAGCAGCCACCAGTGCATTATTATAATAGAGGTACTTGTTAATCCAACTTTTCTTTTTCTGTGATCCCAGCTCCACAAAAATCCCTTTTTCTATCATTCTTATACTTTTCCCTTTGGGTGGTAATTTATTATGTGATAGTTTGGTGACCAGAGCAGCTCTCAGTCCAAAGTTGGTGGAGTAATGAGCAGGTTCATTCATCTGAAAAGAAAATGATGGAGAAGAACTATCTTTTGCTCAATTGTTCAAGTGCTTGTCACATGTCCTGAGATTTATAGATGTGGGCACAAAGATGGATGGGACAAATTCTGGACTTTGGAGGAATTTTTCAGCTTTCTATTACTATAAAATAAAAATCATAAGCTATGAACAAATGCAGTAGGGGAACTCGCTAGACACTATGTTGAAAATGGACTATACAACTTATGAGTGAGGACAGGAGACAAAAACTGGGAGAGAGTGAGGGAAGGGTGACATTGTCCAAAAAGAAATGTACTCTTTACGATGTAACTATAAGCCCTCTGAACATCACCTTTAAATAATAATAAAAAGTTAAAAAGTGAACATAAAAATCAATTTAAAATCCTGAGATAGCCAGATGCTGGTGGCTCACGCCTGTAATCCTAGCTACTCAGGAAGTTGAGATCTGAGAATCACAGTTCAAAACCAGCTTTGGGCAGGAAAGTCCATGAGACTCTTATCTCCAATAAACCAACAGAAATAAGAAGTGGCGCTGTGGCTCAAGTGGTAGAGCTCTAGCCTTGAGCTGAAGAGCTGAGGGACAATGCCCAGGCCCAGAGTTCAAGCCCCACAACTGACAAAAAAAAATCCTGAGATAATCAAGTTAGAACGAGATGAAGGGTTCAGCATATAACAAGTAGGCTCCAGTGATTTGGGCTTGTGTGGCAACACAAAATAAATGTAGCATATAGTAGAGGAAAGCTGCTCACCTCATGACCAGGACATGAAAGAGAGGAAGAGGAAGAGTCTGGGGTCCCACTGTTTCTTCAAGGGAACGCCCCAGTAATTTTCCACTAGATCCTACCTATATAAGTACCATAACTTCTTAATAGTGTGAAGGCCTTTGAGGGACACATCCAGACTATATCAAAGAGTCTTAGCAAAAGGTGGTTATTTTGCACATGAGTGACAGGCATATTATTTGTGGACAGAATTGGGCCATAGTAGTTTAAAGATGATAGTTATGCCAGGTGCCAGTGGCTCATGCCTGTATTCCTAGCTACTTAGGAGACTGAGATCTGAGGATTGTGGTTCAAAGACATCCTGGACAACAAAGTCCTTGAGACTCTTTTCTTTGGTCCGGTCGTGTTGCCTGAACTCTGGGCCTGGGCGCTGTCCCTCAGCTCTTCAGCTCAAGGCTAGCGCTCTACCACTTAAGCCACAGCGCCACTTCTGGCTTTTTTTTCTTATGTGGTGCTGAGGAATCGAGCCCAGGGCCTCAGGCATGCAAGGTAAGTGCTCTACCACTGAGCCACCTTCCCAGCCCCTCCTTGAGACTCTTATCTCCAATTAACCACCAGAAAATTGGAAGTGGTACT